ATTGGCAATGGTATATAGATTTATTAAGGTAATCCCATATATAATAAAATGGATAATAAAAAAAATTTTTTTTAAACAAACAAACAATTAATCAATCATCGAATTTAGAGAAAGAGAAAAAGTTATAGCAAATTATAAAAAATCAAGTCCGAAAGCTTTAGCAATGGGAGAATTAGGACAACCAGATAACAGAACAGTTTTACCTTTTCCAAGTACTACAGCAAGAGAATATGGTTGGTTAGCATCTAAAAAAGAATTTCAACTTGAAGTTTATGGTACTTATTATGATAATCTTAAAACAATATCAAATTCATCCTATGATGATTCTTCGTCCAATTTATATGCAAACTCACAATTATAATTTTATCTTCTCTTTCCCTTCTCAGACCATTTTACCATTTATTAATAATTTATATTATGCTTTTATTATTATTATTATTATTATTTTATTTTTTTAATTATTTTTTTAAATATATATTTCGTTTAAAAAAAAAAAAAATCAAAACTAACTTATTATTATTAATAAAAAAATATATATAATTTCAATATAATGTATATATATAAACATATAAAATAATTAATTGTTAATCGACAAAAACAAAACAAACAAACAATATACAGGTACACATTTTTTTTCCTTTTCAACGATAACACTATATATATATATATATAAAGTGTCAAATTTTATTATAAATGATATTTTTTTATTATATTATTATAAAAAATATATTTTATTCAATTGTGTGTCTTTTTCTTTTTCCTTTCTTTTATAAATCTTTCACATATATATATATATATAAATAAATAATATTATATTCGAATAACAATGATATTACAAAACAAAAAATAAATATAAGTGTGTGTGTAGAAGGAAATTGTATAAAATAACTTATTAAAATGATTGAGCATTTAAAACGATAAATACTGATTTAAAAAAGGTCCATGTTACAATGCAAAAAATTTTCCGAATACCAATATTAATAATAATTAGTAATAAGGCAGTAATGACTGACGGTACGCGCGTTAATCAAAATGGCGTCGTCCCGTCCCGTGGATTCGCGAATGAAAATATAATTTTCGTCATTTATATTATTAATTTCGATATCGATCGTAGATTTTTTTTTTTTATATTATCACAATCCATCTCCCATGGCCACGATTATATTCGATAATGCCGTTCTCGCATCGGATTCTTGAAATGATTGTAATACGTCCATGGCTTTGTTCGAATGTACTTTTTTGCAATTTTTTGTATCCTCTATGGCCGGACTATCGCTTATTATTTCTTGAAGCTTTAAATCGTTAAAAAAAAAAAACTCGTTAGCTTTTTTCAAATAATAATTTAAAAAATTTGTTAAAATAATTAAGATTTTAAATTACTTTCGTGTAATCGACGTCGAAAACTGATCCTTTTCCCTTTTCGATTTCCCTATAAAGGCTCGGATCGTATTCCAAATGGAGAAGAACGGGAGCCGATGTTAAATCAAACGGATTTCCTTTCGAATATTGAGATTCTGGTAAAAATGGCTCTAAATCGAGACAAGCCTAAAAATTATAACATTTATACAAAAAAAAAAAATTTTTTTAAATAGAAAGCGTAAATAAAATTCGTCATGCGAAGTAAAAACAACTTTAATAGGTAAGTGGAAATATTACGTAATAAATAAAATTTATTTATTTATTTATTTACCTGCCACGCAAGAGCTAAATGTTTACCAAAACAAAATCCTTGTTCTTGAAATTTAGGTCCGTGTCCTCCCAATTGTAAAGTACCCTGGCACGATTTACCTAATAGGCTACCAGCTGATAAAACGTTTCTTAAAGTCCATTCTTCCATGGCCGTACCTGGAGGTCCTTTGAATATAAATAAAACATCGTCAATATTTCTCAAACTATTAATTTTTTTTTCTCGGGGAATATCAAAATTGTTTTTTTCGAATACCTGGTGGTGAAGGCATCGGATTATTTTGTTTATCTCTCGGCCCTATAAATTCTCCTTCTGTTAAATCTCTAATTGCTGAACTCATTAATTCGACCAACTGTAAAATAGAAAGAGATAAGTTTTCCCTTTTGTTGTTGCAAAATTATTTCCACACACACACAC